CGTCGCCTGGGCGAGGTCCTTGGCCGCGCCGAACCACCCCGGAACCCCCAGCAGCCCAGGCCGCCCGTTGGTCGAGCACGGCGCTCTCTCGACGCCAACCAGGCTCTGCGTCCGCCAGGACACCAGGCACAGCCTCCGCCTGGCCCCCCTCCTATGATGTCCAGAGCCGGCCGTCAGATCCGGCCGCCTGCTCGATTTGGTTTTGAGTGATTTCTCTTGTTGTAACTTGTACAGTACTTGACTCTGTATACTATGGACCTGCCGTCTAATCTTGTAAATTTTTTCACAATGTTTCTTTTGCGCACTATTACCTTGCTGTGTAATTTTATAAATTTTGTACAACGTTTCACTTTGCGCAGTATTGCCCTGCTGTCTAGTTTGTAATTTGTACAGTGTGTTGCTTTGCGTAACCTTGCGTAATCGTGTAATTTGTAAATTTGTACAGTGTCTTGCTTTGCGTAATTGTGTAATTATTTCGTGTATCAATTGTTGTGTATTAATAATTTTGTGCAGTGTTTCTCCTTGTGTACTCTTGTTGCCCTGTTGTAGAATGCAATTTGTACAGTTCTTACCCTTGTAAATATTGCCATGCTGTATAATAATTGTTCTAGCATTATCGCTACTGTACTTGTTTCTTGAGGGCCTCTACAGTTTATTCACTCTGCGTGTTATTCTGTTCCCTGTAACGCTGTATGCCCTATGCCCTTGCATTTCTTGCACCTGTATGTGTGTGTATGTGTGTGTGTGCCTTCCTTTTTTTTTTGTGTGTGTGCGCCTTCTTTGTCTGTTGTAAAAATGTTTTTTTTTGCTGTTGGTTTCCGGCATGTTTGCTTTGCCTCTCTTTTATTTGGCTCATGTAACCGTGTAGTTTCGTTTAACTACTGCAAGCTTGTATTAGCTTCTTGTGTGTACTAGTCATGTTCTCCTGTAATGTCGTATTTGCCTCTTGTTCTTACTCGATGTAAATTCTGTGCATTCTTCTCAGGGGGGAGGGGTGTTGTATCCGTAGAGAGATACTCCATGCTAGCTGTTTGCACTTGGCACTTGTAGATACCCCGCGCGCCAGAGTTCATGTAGTTCTTGTAACCTCCGCTTGTAGCGCTGTCAGTCATCACTCTCAGTCTGTTTTTGTCAACCTGTCCGCTCCGCTTCAGTTCCGAATAAACCACCGACTCAGCAGTACCACTCTTGTTTATTCCCGCGCCAGCCTGAACCCAACACGCCGCACCCCTTCGAGACTCGAAGCACCCCTCCAAGACCCGCGACACCCCCACGTGAGGTCCTGCGCCCATCAGTGGCAGCGGGTGCCTACCTCGCAGGCGCGAAGGCTAATTACAAAACACCAATTATCTCCGTACCTAGACGTTTGCACCCACTAGTTCATCGGTAGAAAATGATCCCCTTGGGGTGCCCAAACTACCTACAAATTATTGACACATTGAGAAAACTCACCCTGTATATCCACACAAATTCGAGACATAAAAAAATAACTTACCCTTTTGAAAAGATGTTAGAAGTTAAGGGTAATAACTTTAACTCTTATGATAACGTTATGATGCCCTTATGAGACAAGTTAAGGATCCCTGGCTTCGACTAAACCTTACTGACTTTCATAAAACAAGGTAGGTGCACCAGGCCAGGCCATGGCTTTGTCGTGACATGCTTCTCGATGCTGCGCCAGTTCCAACAATCTCCACGCCTGGCGTTTCACGGCACTTCCAGCGGCGATACATGCGATTTTTGGCGATACTATCGCCAACAAGCAGCCCTACCAAAAAGTGTTGTCTTCAGAACGGCGTTCCACTAAAGTATTGCAAAATTTGGCAATACTTTCGAGTATCACCAAAATCCGGCAACAAACACAGAACCAGTCTCCCTGATTTAAACAAAGGTAAAGGTTATGTCCAAATCTTGGTAGTACTCTGAAGCATCGCCAAATTTTGGCGATACTTTTGTATATCGCCATTTTGAAAGCAAGCCGAGCAATCGGATATCTGCTGACTGACACCTGGAAACGTTCTCGAGGTAGCATTTCCAAAGCCTCGTGCGAGGCTTCGCGTTCCTCAGTTTTTAAGGATGTTGCTGAGGACGTGCTGAAGAACGATATTCGTTAGAGGAAATAGGTCTGTGAGCAACGGAAGACGCAGTCCGGACAGAGCTTCCCACCCTCCACTGAGAACCTGAATCATGGCCTTTAGCGAGTCCCTCTCATCGAACAAAGCAGTTGTCATTTCAATAGCGGCTGGGTAAGCCTTTCCTCAAAACCGCTGCGTTGACCTGGATTTCGTAAGCAGAGATAAGGAGAATGAATGTTCAGTACCTCGCATGTTGATGATTACAAGGGCCCTTGAACCCAACTAACACTTATTTTTACATGATTCTGTGCTGTTTAACTCAACCGTCAAATCCGAAACCTCCATCTTCCAGCTCAATTTTTAGACGTGTTCTGGCTCTCCTGCAATATTAGAGATCATGGACTTTCGTCGCTTTGTCAAAGTAACCAGTGATATCCGGCGGTTAAAAGGGGGGGGGACCCTGGTAAAACTTTTAAGTAGGCTTTAAAATAATCCCAGAAAGTTCAAACTCTGCTAAATAATTAGGTTTATTATGGTGAGTTCCCAAAACAAAATTTAATCCAAATTGTTGAACGGTTTCTGAGAAAAGTGCGACTTTAGTGATTTCTTTGAGCGTTGGGGAAAAATATTCCTGCGCCTTTCATTGGAACGGATAGTCTTGGAAATGTTTTTGTGTTATCCTAAAGATGTATAGAAGAGATTTTAGTGCTGGAATTTTCAAATTCAACTTCTGTCCCAAGATACAAATTTTAAAATTAGAACATTTCCAGAAAGTGAGTTTTTTTTGGCCAATATTTCAAACTTTCTTGTGTTTGTATGATATCGAGATTCCGTCATAAAAAATTGTTGACAAGTCTTCAAAGAATAGAGTCCATGCAAGCCGACTCAAGTATGTGTCAATTCGTTAACCAGGAGAGCGATTCTCACGTTTCGGGGTAGTTTCGTTTCTTTTGACTCCTGTGCCCAAACGAGCTCAGATATCGACATGGGGTTTGTTTCTGATGTTAGGGAGGGCCATTGCCCACTAAACGCACACATTTCGAAAAGTTCACGTTCGTTGGTTTGGTCTACGTAGCGTTTGGAATACCCTAAATGTAACTTCCGTGATTGTCCAAAGAGAACATACTCGAACTTTCCGCCCCCAGTGTGGTGGTGTGGTTCGAAAATGCTGCCAACTGTCGATGGGGATTCGAAGCTTGGCATGTCTCGAGCTAATTTCGACCGAAGACCAATACGCCAGACTTCTTTCAAAGGTACTTATGCTGCAACGAAAAATGTCCTCCGTATATTCAATTTCACTACACAAATTTCGAAAAGGCAGCTGTGGACTTCTCCCCAAGCCAAACTTTAAACTTTCCATGACACAAGCCATCAAAGTGGAGTCCCTGAGATATAATTGCATGGGTCGCGGAAATCTAAGATGCTGTACACGGTCTCAAAGCGGGCTAGAGCATTATAAAATGGCGTGTATCAACAATTACCTGTAACTTCCGTGGCACCCTTTACCCAATGTTGCAGCAGCACTAGGTGAAAAAATTTTCCGCTTAAATGTCGGGCTTAGAGTATCATTTGACCCTGGAACGACTTTTAAGCCACAGCAAGCCCGAGTCAGCCGTTAAAGCCGATTTTCACACTTTGTAACTTCCGTGATAACGTAATTTCCGTGATCAAAACACCCACTAAAACGTATGGGAATACCTTATGGCTCATGTTTTTAGGAAGGTAGTACAAGGTCTTTACTATAAATACCATTGCCATAACTCTAGTATCATCCAGGAACCCAATAATCAGAAAAACTTAATTGGATATTTCTCACTTTCGGAAAATCAGAGACGCCAAAACTACCTACTACGTGAGAATCGCTCAGGAAGGCAGGAAGTCTTTTTTGGGCGGGCGGGGGGGGGGGAGTTGAAATTTGCAATTTTTTTTATGTTTTTTCAGCCTTTTACCCTGACATGAAAATGGACATCACCATTGGATTCTCCATACCATGCCTTTTTACCATTTTACCATCTTTGGTTGCGGGTCTGGTGGCACTTTTTTGAATTTTCGCAAACTTTTTAGATTGAGTCGATATTTGGGTTTTAATCCTTGCGCGCAGGATTTCAAATCCAGATATTGACCCAAAACTCTGACGAAGGTGCCACATCTTTTTATAGTCAAAGTGAAGAAGACAAGGGAGCCGGATTTCAAACACATGTTTTATTTCGGTTTTAATCTTGAAAACTAGAATTATGACTGCTTTATGCCGCTTTTGGACATTCATTGACCTTTAACTAAAAATTGAGATAAGTATTATTGAAAAACTATCCCTTGTCTTCTAGCTATATACACACTGATCATTTTAAGCTGTCGCACAACATTCTTCCTCTTCCTCTTCACATTCTACAAAAAGTAACCGAGAAAAACTTGTTTAAAGTAGGGCCTGACCTAACCTCACAGTGATTGTGCGAATTAAAAGTTCCCTATGCCGATTTGAGGGTGTTGTGGGTCGAAATACGGTCAAGTTTGGTTGTACCAAGGCCCAAAGAGTAGAAAAAAAAAGGAAAAACCGAAAATCGATCCCTCCCCATATTATTTCTTTCCAAAAGGTAAAGAAACGACCCACTTAGCTTAAAGGTGATCAACCTATTGAATCTGAAACCTTCTATGCACATTTTTATCTTTGAACTTAAAAAATATTATTTTTGTCAATTTTTGCCATTTTTTCACCAGCAGGGTCCCCCCTAAATGCAGTTCTGATGGCAGTGCGATCCCACATTTTCGCTCCAACTTAAAGTAAAAACCCATTTTGAGTCACTGTTTCGAGCGTTTCCGTGCATGTCGGGTCCAGCCACAGCATCGTTCCATATGTTTCTCGTGTCCCGATGTTTATCTGTTCACTTTTCATTGTCGTTCCGCGGATTTCAATGAAGTACTCTTCGCGTTGCCATCGTCAGCGCACTGCGCTGGACCGGCCAATGTAACCTCAGGCAATGATCCAACACCATGTGGTCGGACACCGGGCACAATATCAAGAAATGTGATTCAAAGTCGTCGTATCCATCCAATGCAACGTTAGACCTGAACCAGTACTTAAGCCTCCTGTCACCGTGAAACAGGGTCATTTCGGACACTTTAGGGAGTTTTATGAAATTGTGAAAGTTGTGGTTTTGCCAAGGACATGAGGCTGCTTCAGTTTTTTGAGATATTGGCTTTGAATTCTAAAACCGTGAATGCTGTGCGGTGTCGCAAACTTCCTGCTTTGGTGGACGGAAAAATGTACACCGTGTAACAGATTTCAGCAATTTTACACATTTTGCCAAATTTCAAACACCTCTCAGCGCCAAAATTTTGGTAGTAGGAGGTTGGGTCATAGCTCATAAGAGTCAGAGTGACGTCGATTAAAAGACTGGTTTCGGCATTATCTTCCTCCAAAGGTGAAAAAACGCAACTTGTGCTAGATCGGCGTGTAACATTACGTGCCACCAGTAGGTCCGTGACTGAATGTCCAAACGATTTCGGCCCATCGGGCAATTGACGCAATACCCATACATAGCTTTTGGATTTTCAGGGAAGGTTAACTCGTGGGCCGTCCGTGAACAGTTCCAGCTTGCCAGCCAAAGTTTACACAAAGACTTCAAAGAGTTCAAAGTGATAAGTACAAGAATCACTTTATCTCTGGAGTTAACCCCACTGTGAGAAAAAAGAACGGAAAAAGTACGGAACTTGTCTGGTCAATAATTTGCCTGGACCGTCCGTACTTGCCAACTACAGAACGTTCCGTACCCTTTTCCGTACCCATTTACATGGGTTCATATGGAGCAAGTACGGAACGTTCCGTACTTTTCTTCGTACCTTTGTACTATATTTTTCTGCACCATTTCCGTAGAAAAGTGCGGAATTTTTTACAGTGCCCTTTTTTCACCTCCTGGTGAATGATCAGACCTATACCTCCTAACGAGAAGCGCGTACCGGCACCTACACTGAGAATCCAAACGCTATGAGTATAGCGTCAATTGGTGCAATGCAAAAGCATTGCACATGAAGTGCAATGCCTCCCATTTCCCATGCATTAGCATAGGGCCTTTCCGGGAAGCATTGCACCAAAGGTGCAATATGGCTGAGGCATTGCACGTATGGTGCGATATCGCAGCGCATTGCACCATACGTGCTATACTCATAGCGTTTGGAATCTCAGTGTATGCCGATTCATAACCGCTTACCGCTGCAGGGTTTCCTGACGTTTTAAAGTAAAGCCGATGCGACGCGCGCATTGGGACAAAGCCTCCGAGGTGGCAGCTAGATGGCAGAATCATCGCAACGCTTTCGGGCAAGAATGTCCAAAATTATCCCGGGTGTCCGAAATTACTCCGCTTCACGGTACCGAACCACACACTTTTTGTTAATGTACACTGAAAACGTATGTGCGTACTGAGTACACATACAGAGGACTCAAGTGTGTACTGAGTACACACTTTATTTTTCAGTGTACTCCTGTTGCCCAGAACTACTGAAAGATTGATACATATGCTGACTGCCGCACTGGTAAAAGAATGTCAATCAAAGTACTCCCTTACACTACAAACCTAACTGTCTACTAAGTACACACTTACAAATGCATGCCTGCAAGTACACACTTGCAAACGCATGCTTGGCCAAGTACACACTTACAAATGCATGCTTGCAAGTACACACTTACAAACGCATGCTTGACGCATGGAGTTATACGGCGTCAAGCATGCGTTTGTAAGTGTGTACTTGCAAGCATGCGTTTGTAAGTGTGTACTTGCCAAGCATGCGTTTGTAAGTGTGTACTTGCAAGCATGCATCTGTAAGTGTGTACTTAGTAGACAGTTAGGTTTGCAGTGTAACGGCATATTTAGTGTTTGACGCCATTTCAGGGTCGTGAATCGTTCTATAGCCTTGGGAACCCTTCCCTTTCCATCAATTGCTGAAGGACTTTTAGGCTAAAATTTTACAAATGTTGCCTTACAGTACGTTACTTAACCACACAGACAAATTCCTACGCCCTTGCAAAATGGAAAATATATGGGCATTATATGGACAAAATATATGGCCCAACATGTATTGACGACATATGAGGAAAAGATAATTTAGCAAGATACTTTTCCGATATAGAAAATATGTGGCAAATATATAAATTTCATACATTGCTCTATATATGTGGGAAATATACAATGTGAATACACCATTGAGTCTGACGACTCAAAAGTCTTCCTTTACTATTAACAAAGAATGTAAACTTCGCCTTGCGAGGACATCCAATAGTAATAGTAAATAGTAAAGGACATCTAATAGTACCGTGGTCACCTAGAAGAACTTTTCGCGCTACACCCAAAAAAGACGTTTAAAATTTCCGAACTGTTCCAGTTAACTTGTTAAACAGGATTTCTCAAAATTTCTTGGAGACTTAAACGCATAGAAAAGAACCTTGCCCCTGCTCAATATATGGCGTCAATATATTTTACAAGATAAAACCATGTTGAGAAATATAGCCGCCTTTCAACATCGAGTGCCAAGATTTTAAGAAAAATTACTTGAAAGGTCTGCCCTCCCCACCCTGCCCGATCCCACGACGGGCACGGTGTCCGATATTGAAACATACATTTCGCGATGATAATATTATATGGGGAAATATATGCATCATATATTAAGGGGGCAGTAGCGTCATTTGCACGTGTTTTGACGATTTTCGAACCTCCTGTTTAGACGTTAATATAAAGATAAGTATGAATGCCAGAGACAAACGGCAGGCACCATTTGAAAGATAAAAGTTTTTACAACATTTTCAAAAAAAAATATTTTGTTTTAGCATTGAATTAGGATGTTTTGTGTTCTATGCAAAAATGGTCTGCAAAATTACATGGTGTCACTGCGCGCACGATTGCAGCCAAAGTTTTTAACTTTTTACCAATCGGTAAAATGCATCTGAAAAAGCATGAAATTGCCCATAAAATGACCCTTGGGTTTCAATATTGGGCAAGAAAAACTATTGAAACGCTCATCTTCAACTTAAGATGGAAACGAACCACATTTTTTCTGGCCCAATATTAAAACCCAAGGGTCATTTTATGGGCAATTTCATGCTTTTTCAGATGCATTTTACCGATTGGTAAAAAGTTAAAAACTTTGGCTGCAATTGTGCGCGCAGTGAAACCATGTAATTTTGCAGACCATTTTTGCATATAACACAAAACATCCTAATTCAATGCTAAAACAAAATATTTTTTTTTGAAAATGTTGTAAAAACTTTTATCTTTCAAATGGTGCCTGCCGTTTGCCTCTGGCATTCATACTTATCTTTATATTAACGTCTAAACAGGAGGTTCAAAAATCGTCAAAACACGTGCAAAAGACGCTACTGCCCCCTTAACGGGCACCAAGATATACCCCATATATAAACCATGTATGGCGCAAGATAATTTGCAATATATTGAGCAAGATACAATTATATTGACAATGAAACATATATGGAGTCATATATTGACACATATTTTATATAAATTTTTCTTTTTGCAAGGGCGTCTATTCCTACAAGGAAGTGCTCGTTGCAATACAAAGAAAACGAGGGCTACGCAGCCTACGAATAAAGCGTTTGTAATACGAACGACTTTATTCGTAATTCAAAGAAAAAAATCTTCCGCAGGCTGGGAAGAAGTTCTTCGTAGGCTACAAATGATTTTTCTTTTGTAATCCAAACAAAATCCTTTTACAAACGATTTCCTTCGTAGGCAGCGAAGCCTTCGTTTTCTTTGTATTACAACGAGCAGTTCTTTGTAGGGTTCTAAGCGTGTAGTGTTCGTTGTGTGTCATGATTAAGTATGGTTCCATGGTAAATCGGCGTCCCCCTTGCCTTGCCCTAAATTACCCCTTCGCACAGAAAACGCCCGCGTGTGGTCTGTCAAGTTAAGGACGCGCGTCAGACGCGCGTCTGCGCGTACGCGCGTCCGGTTTGCGCTGGCTGCTGTTGGAGGACTTTTGATCCATGCATTGCATTAAATTTGTTCAACCCGTACCTTTTTGGAAACGGGAGATGCCACGGATTCTCGTTATGCCAATAAATGCGTGCATAGACGAATTACAAGGTTTCAAGTGACACAGGAACGGTCGCAACATCTCCTGTTGTTAGTGTGGCATCATAATCTATTGCCATGAACAAATTCTGCTCCTCGTTCTCCAGTTCTCTGCATGCGCTGCTGTTCATTTCTGTACAGCCGTTTGGCTTCATCAAATTTGGATCCACAACTAGGGCCTTCATAGTGATGACCCTTCAATTTCAACAGATTGGAAACCTCCACCCAAAATAAATCTTGTCGTTTACTATTTTGGAGGATTTTAATGTTGTTCCTTACCACTCTTAGTAAATATTTCAAAGCTGCTGTTGTCCAAACAGCTCCTGCAAAATGAAAGATTAATGAGTATGATGTTACAGTTGCTAAAAGGGGGGTGGGTTATACTTGGCCACAAAGGCGCAGTAGTGGTGAATCTTCTTAGGCAGCGTCAGGGAGCTTACAAGGTAGCACGTATGCGAGAAATGAGAGAGGAGGGTGAAGCTAGACCGGTCGACTTATTTTTCATACGGGCGCCAGGTACGCCAAGAATTAAATATTTAACTGAAGGTTAAGTCACTTCATAAATAATCAAACCCCGGGCTATACCGCCGACCGGACTAACCGTGTTGACAATTGACCAACAACATAAATTAGAGCAAAGTAGATATATTCTTAAAGACCATGAACAAGTACTGCAGTACAAAACGTGGGGCTCGAACCCACATGAATCCATAGCAATAACAATGATCGGAAAATAATGGTTGCAAAATCAAACACAAGAGACCGCGGAAATCCTAATAAAAACTGTAAACCACATTCTACAGAAAATTCACTGTCAAAAATACAACGGTTTTTCTACAGTTAATCGGAGCAAAAATCACATAAACAAGTGAATAATAACCCACGGCTCGAGTCGACATCGAGGATAACTAGAGTAGCGTAATAATACCGCTGGTTCTACATTTTAGCCGCGCAAGAAACAAGTCGACAAAACAGGAACG